ACATAACAGTTTCAAGCTCTACTACGTTTTCAATAAATGAAGTCCCGTCCATGATTCATTATCACCGTTCTTGCGCCAACCTTATCCTTGAAAGAGGCACCATCAATATTTATCATTAGAGCCCCAAAGGGAGGGGGTAACCATCTAGAGGGCAAGACCTGATTTCATGTCAAAACAAAGGTCTAACTACCAATGAGGAATAAGTTACCCAAAATCTCAAGGATCTGAGCATTTACAGAGGCAATCGCTTTGCAAGGCTGGAAGTGTTTGCCTTCAAACACCAATTTACACCTCCATTTCCATGAGTGCCACATAAAAATGGCACACCGAAAAAAAGTGTATATAGGGGTGCTCACAGTTCTTTTAACCAAACCGTGAGCCTTTTTTTATTCAAACCAAACCAGTGGTATCGATTTTTGGAAAACTAGTAACCAAAATTGAACCAAAGCCTATTAGTTAACCGGTTAATCAGTTCGGTTAACTACTGGTTAGGTTCAATGTTTTTTGGTTCTTCAATTTTAATAATATTTATATATAATAAATATAAAATATTATATTATAAATAATAAATAATATATTATATATTGTGTATTGTAAATATATATTTATAATATATAATACATATATATTCATTTATAATATATATAGATAATATAAAATATATATAATATACATAAATATGTATATGTTGGAAAAAATGTGCAGTAATATGACTATAACAAAGATGAAACCAGAAACCAAGAAGCAAATCTGAACTATAGGAAATGAAATAGAAATCTGATAAAGAACTGAATTAAAACTTAATGGTGTAACTGAGTCACGGCAAATGTCCACTCTCCTTAAAACCGATTCTACCGCCTCTCAGAGTATTCCCGTTGGTGCAGAAGGATACTGATGGTCGGCCTCTAGGATACAACAACTCCCAACCTTGGTGTTGTGTGCACTCACAATCCAAAGCATCAAATCAGATTGTTATGTGTGCCGAAAATTGAAGAAGAAAGCATAAAGTGGGAGAGAACAAGAGACGCGTATAGAGGAAGAGAGCAAGAACCCTCACTAGAAGGGCCAAAGTTCATTGCTATATAATTGCAAATTTCTTGGCTACTAAGAAAACTCGGGATTGGAATGTTTCCCACCAACTTTGGAAGTAATCCCACACAATAAGAGAGTGGACAGTTACAAAGAAAACATTCAAAAACAGACTCTTGGTTAAAATGTTGAAGCCTAAATAAAAAATAAAATAAATAAAGATAGGGCAAGGGCCCTAGACCTATGCATGTGGCACAACACAGCATGGCACGATAGATGGATGGGTGGTGGCCCAAGTGCACTCTCTCTATAAGCCCCAAGACAAACCCATAAGCGCAAGGTAGTAGATAAACTTTAGAGGAATGCTCTTCCTAGTCTATATAGGACTCAAGCTACTACATTAGTGACAAAACAAAAAAGACAAAAAGTTAAAATGCAATACCAAAAAGGCAATAACTTGAATCACACAAAAACCAAGAAAAGATATTAACAATATATATATATGTATGTATATATATAAATATATGGTTGATTCGGTTAATCAAAAATTTTTAATTCGGTCTTGTTAATTTAATTCGATTTTCAATTTTTCTTGTTCACCCCTAGGTGTATATTCCCGTTATCTGCATCAACCCAACCCAGTTGTCTAACCATCTCTGCCAATTGACTAGTCGGGATGTAGGCAACCCATAAAGGCACCAAACCATATAGTCTCCATAATAGAACATGAAAAGAAACAATGTTCAAGGATCTCCACATATTCGCGAGACACCGGGCAAATACCATCCTTGAGTTGAGAAATGTGATAAGGACCAAGTAAAAGTAAAGAGCCAGTCAAACATGAGATCGAATTCTATGGACCCTCAGGTTCATGGGAAGCGTGCACCTGAGAATGAAAAAGGAGCACTGTCACCCTATTAAGTTAACAGGAATTTAACGGAATTGCTCTGTTAAGGCTGATCCAACCAGCCACTAAAAGACAAAAAAGTGAAAAACGACAACCTCCTCCATTCGAATTCCCCTCTCACCATCTTTCAGCATCAAACCACAACAATCAAGTTCGGAGACCGATGACCGGTGATCGGTGGTAAAATCATCTTCTTCTTCTCTTCCTGTCATAGATGGAATGGAAGTGCAAGATATGTAGGTAGAAAAAGAAAAATCGGAAAACAACGAAGAAAAAGGCCAAAATCAATCGGAACACTCGCTCTTGCATTGCCACCGACATATTAGCTGATTTCATGCATCGTAAAATCAATGTTTTCTACTCTAGATTTCAGACTTTCAGGCAATGCTTTAAAAAACGATTTGGAATCGGAACCATTTTGGTCATCGGTTTCTGAGTTAATAGTTCGACCGTCTGATCCGAACGGATGGCTCATTCTGACAAAATAAATTAAAAAAATTAAAAAAAGAATTAAAATTTAAAAACAGTTAAAAAATATTAAATGCGTCAATGGTTTGACCACCTAGACCAATGGGTCTTTGATCGATTCAACAGTTTTTGGCCAAGGACCGAGTTTGAGATTAAACGGAACTGGTTGCCTGAACGATTCCTTAACCAAATGGTACCGTCCGAATCAACAGCGGTTAAAAAACTATACTTTCAAGTAATCTTTTGCTACCAACTTTTGCGTGTTGGGATCAGATCGACTATAATCCAAACTTCATGTAATTGTGATGCAGCTGATTGCTTCTTGGATTATTCAGTCCATAATTTCAAGTGTTTAAATGCTTTTGGAAAATCTACATGTACTTAGTGAGGATTGGGGAATTCTTTAAAGCTAATAGAAATGAGGTTTAACTGTGTAGTTTTGATTGCCCTTTTTTCTGCTATTCAGGGAATAGGAGAAAGCAAGAAATGAAGGTAATGAAAAACAACCGCTTTTTTTTTTTTAACTGTCCCTGGATGGGTTTTCTCTCCTAATACCTCAAGTAGCAATTCGGCTTTATTCATGTTTTCCTTTTCTCCCCCTCAAATATCAGAGCTCAGCCTACTTTAATGATCTTAATTTTGAAGGTTAGGCTTACTTTACTCTGACTGCAACTGGTAGCGGTTGATTCCTTGCTGCCAGATCAAACAAAGGGTGTTGGGGTTCTAGGAAACGGCCTTAAGATTTCAGAGGATTGTTGTTGATAAAAATGAGAAAAAGAACAAAAAAAAGGAAGAAGAAAAAAGTGGAGGAGAAAGAGAAGAAGAAGAATTTATCGCCAGTCTCTGGTCATTGGTTGATGCCTCACGTTCAACGTCAATTGGTGTGTGGCCGGTGGTCTAATTACAGTATGTTGAGACTTGAGATTCAGTGGGAGGGGAGTTTGAATGAGAGAGGGAAGTATTATTGGGTTTTGTTTTTTTTTTTGTCTTTTAGTGGCTGGTTCAACCAATTAGACCATTATGAGCAGCCCCGTTAAACTCCTATTAACTTACTAACACGAAGTATTCATTTTTCATTAGCAGGTGGACGCTTCCTGTGAACCGAATGGGTCCACAGGATTCGTGCTCGTCAAACATGGCTAGAAATAGTGCCCTCTGAGTCCAAAATCTGATACCTTCACCGATGAAAATCTTAGGATCAGTTCTTCGGTATCATCATCACTTTCGTTGGCACCATCTCCATCAGTGTTTTCTGCTGATACCTTCACCTTCAAGCGCTTCTTCTAAAGCACACCCATCCTATGAGTTTCACATCAGGCAACTGGTTTGGGATCAAACTGTAGCCTTCACATTAATCGGCTTCTGTATAAAGAGCAGGTTTTAATCTCCCGTAAGGAACTTGATAATCAAGACACAGCCAAAAGGAGCCGAGACCTTGATTGGAACTCATCTCACCGTAATCCATATGGAACGATAATCAAGGCATAACTAGAAAGACTGAGAAGAAGAGCAAGGATGTTTGCTGTAAACGGAGCGGGAGCCGCTTCGCTTGCAGGACTTGCAGTTGCAGAGGTCAAAGGGGTTTTTAGGAACGGAGGTGGGAAGAGTATTTTTGGGATTTTTGATAAATATATTGGTCACATGATATCACATGTAATGGGAAAGTTAGTGGATGTTAACGTAAGGCCAATTGTCTAAAACAGTAAAAGCAGTATTAGTCAATTTTTAAATAGTAAGAATTAATTAAACGTAGTTTAAAAAATTTAATATTTTTAAATTTTCTTTAAATTCTTAAAATCTTAGAATTCCATAATTCTATTTTTAAAATATTTTTAAATTGTCATAATTCAATTCCTAAAACACTTTCAAATTCCCAAATTTTATTTGTAAAATATTCACCAATTAGACTATTTTTAAATAATTGTCTTAAGGTGAGAAAAATTCAGAAATTTCCCATCCCCATCTCTGTTGTGTCCGCCACCAGGGATGGGGAGGAGGTGCCCCGCCCCATTTCTTAGGTAGAAAAAGCAATTTCTCTTTTTAACAAAAAAGGGTAGAAATAGCAATTTGTATTGATAAACTCCAAATATTTTCAAAACATTTCAATTTTCAAAAACTTTCTCTTTTACGTATGTTTATTGATCAATCCAAAACGCAGTCTCTAAAAAATTCCAAAATTATCTCAAAAAAGATTCAAAACGTAACAGCAACAGAACGCCACTGTACCAAACACCTCCTAAATCCCCAAATGGAAAAGTTCCAAATCAACGGTGTTTGCCTTTATACCACAGCTCGGCCACCGGGCCACTCTCTACTGGGCTTGGGGCCTTGGGCTAACACAGGATTCCATCGCGGTGGTTTTGAAAATCCCAAAAATAGTCAGTCAGAAAGAAAACATAAAACAGAATGAGATTCCAATCCCAACTTTCAACGCGTGAGAGAGCCTTCCTTGGATGATATCCATCAAAATTGGTGTCTGTTAAAGATATTCCAATCCAACGTAAAATACCTTCGTTGTATTAAATTACATTAGACTTGTTGATATAGGAAAGAAAAAGTAAAGAACCCGCTCCTTTTCGGTTTTCATCTCCCTCTATTTTGGACCCCCGTTTCCGCCAATCTATTCTTTCTCCTTCTACTTCTACCCTCGTTCCTCTTTTTCGTTTTTCCGCCCAACCTCCTCGCATTCCCTCAAATCAAACCAAACCAAACCGAGCGAAATACAGAGATTAGATCTCACACCTGAATCCAACCCACTGGAGATCTCATCAATGGCTGCCGCTTCTGTTGCTCCTTCACCCCGTGAGGAAAACGTTTACATGGCGAAACTCGCCGAACAAGCCGAGCGATATGAAGAAATGGTCGAGTTCATGGAGAAGGTTACGGCCGCCGTAGAGGCTGAGGAGCTCACCGTCGAGGAGCGTAACCTCCTCTCCGTTGCCTACAAAAACGTCATCGGTGCTCGTCGCGCTTCCTGGCGCATCATATCTTCGATCGAGCAAAAGGAGGAGAGCCGTGGTAACGAGGACCATGTCGCCATGATCCGTGACTACCGATCTAAGATCGAATCGGAGCTTTCCTCGATCTGTGATGGCATTCTTCGCCTTCTTGATCAGAGACTCATCCCTTCCGCCTCTTCCGGTGACTCCAAGGTCTTCTATCTCAAGATGAAGGGCGATTACCATCGATACCTCGCCGAGTTCAAGACTGGCGCTGAGCGCAAAGAGGCGGCCGAGAGCACTCTCTCTGCTTATAAGTCGGCACAGGTTAGTTTTTCCCTTCTAGGGTTAGGGTTTTGTACCTTGTTGGTTCCACGCAGTTTTCGTAAAATTGGTTTGGGGCTTTGGTTCTTTGTTGCTTTGTCTTTCCCTTTCTTTGCACTTAATCCATTTCAGACTTTTGTTTTTCTTTTTTACTTTTTTTTTAACATTGATTCTTAGGGTTAGAATTTCAGACTTTTCTTGTTCTCTACACTGGTTAATTTTCTAATTTTATTTTTAAGATGTTGACGTCTTAGATGTTTAGCGATTCTTAAGTCTTCTATCTATCAAAAATGGAACAAAACGTTTTATTAGATATGTTTATTATGTTAATTTCTTATTTGCCCTTCATCATATTTATTGATTCTTCTAAGTTCTTGTTCATTTTCACTTTTCTTAAACCATTGGGTATCATACTATTTACAATATATCATTTGCAGGATATCGCAAATGCAGAACTCGCTCCAACACATCCCATTCGACTAGGGTTGGCTCTTAACTTCTCTGTCTTTTACTACGAGATCTTGAATTCTCCTGATCGAGCCTGTACTCTTGCCAAACAGGTTAGGACTAATTTCTTCTGTTTGATATAATGGTGGATAAACTTGAGATCTAGATAAGATGCATTGTGGAGATTTGGGAAAAGGATTTGAGTAGGTTTTTAATTTATGTTGAATTGTTGATGGTGCATTACTTTCTACTTCTAGGGTTATGTTCTATTCAAATGGGAAGTGCCCCATTTTGTTGCATCTTCATTTCTTTCTATGCATATTTTCCACTTGAATGTTTCCTTGATCAGAATATTTTTGTGCCCTACGTGGTGGTGTTGTTTTGATTGTGACCAGGCATTTGATGAGGCAATTGCGGAGCTGGACACCTTGGGCGAGGAGTCTTACAAGGATAGCACTTTGATTATGCAGCTGCTTCGTGATAACCTCACCTTGTGGACATCAGACATGCAGGTAATGCTTCTATTGTTGATCCCTCTGCTCTTCCTTTTTATTCATTTGATTTGCTTTGATTTATTTTTATGTCGTTGCTGATTTTGATCATATATATATATATATATATATTTTCTTTCAATTATAGGATGATGGCGCAGACGAGATCAAAGAAGCAGCTCCCAAGCGCGATGATGAGCAGCAGTAGTTAGTTTATTTATTTGAAGAAATATTAGGGGTTCACTTCTCCTGCGTTCGTTTTTTAATAGGAGAAGATGCTTTGGTATCAATTCCCCCAGCTATTATGAATTTTTAGTTCATGGCTTGATTTCTCTGACCTTTGGGCTGCCAAGTTCTGTTGTTTTGCTTCGTTTACTTTCTTCTATCCTCGAGGGCTTGAAGTTCTGTAGTTGCGGTTGGGCCTGGCAAACTCTTGTTATCTATTGGTAGCTTGATTTCCTTCTTTTAAATGGGAATTAGTGTTGATGCATCAAAACAGTATTACTTTTCTAATTAATGATGCTCTCTTCTGTTTATGAGATTCAATGAATTATGCATGCGCTTGATAGTATTTTACAATTCAAATCCTTGAATTGAAAAACAGTCGATTATTATACACAGCCCCTTTCCCGTCTTGGTGTGCTGTTTGATAGTAATCCTGGTGTGGTTTAATTCGAGGGTTAATGGCGAATATAGCCTTTAGTGTGAGTGTGCTATTGGGGGTGGTGGTTGCGATGCCTATGGATTCTGTGGCTTTGGGGTCATTACGCTGATTTGGAGCACAATCCGGATCTCCTGCCCACACGTACCCACAGCACAAACATTCCCAACGAGAATGGCAACATGCAGATATGGGAGATGTTCTCAATCCTCAATGTGCAGTTTTGCTGTAGTGATGTGTGGGTAAGGTCTTTCTGCGTAGGATATCCCAACGCGATTCGGAGAGGATTTGGTAACAAGCATCTGAGCATAACATTTTGTTTATTTGAATTAGTTTGGGCCCAAAACCACAAACTCCTCCCAGAGTCGGAGACCGAGACAGGTTGTTGACTGGTAGGCATATGGGACGACGTCTCGTCTCTACAGTGTACATCTGTGGTTTGTCTATGTTCAGATATCATTTGTGCCCGGACCCTCGACTATTGTAGTTGATGGAATCCGTATTTGCCATTTTGTCGAGGTTGTCATGTGGAGCGTAGTTGAAGTCTTGAATCTTGTGAATGGCAGGTTTGACGATGTACATGTCACTGGTTGATGCACTATTGTGGATAACGCCTGGCTTAGGGCATCCTTTCTCCTAGTTTCCTTTTTTGGAAATACTTTCTCCTAATTTCTGGGCATTGATATTTGATATGTATTATTATTGTTCCTATTATTGTTCCCAGCGTGCAGTCCACCCCATAATCAATCATAGGTGGAGGTGTTGGCTAACAAAACCCAAAAGCCCACCAATAAAAACCTCTGAGCCGGACCGACTCCAAATGTTTGTTTTCTATTTTTTAAATTTTTTGATAGATAACAATGTGTTCACTGATCGGTAAATGTGCAATCTCATTTTTCAACTGAAATATAATGGTAATGTTTGGTTTCATTGCGATATTTCAAAAATTGTACTGTTTTGTCAGAGAATGGCAATGCATGGTTTGTTTGGAGATGAGATTGGTGCTCCATAAAGTTTGCCCCATGGGCGTCTCACATCTTAACCATGTATTGGGAACATAAAAAAATGCATGCTGAGATTGCATGTGAGGCAAGTTCTGTGGGGCACTCGTTTGGTTGGTTTTATTACCTTAAAGAAAACGGTGTCACGTCAGAACCTGTCAGCCCCTATTTTTAGATGGATCGATTTTACCATTTTTTGAGAAAATAGCTAATCAAACATGTATCATTGCATCTCTGACTTGTAGGAGAGATTTGGGAATGCCCAGTTCTTAAGTTAGATACCTGGTTATTTCACTCCCCTCTGTCACAGCTGAATGTGCTGTGGAGCAAATTTGGCACCTTGCCATTCAACCCTAATTTTTTTCCCTACCAAAAAACCATTTTTTTTTTCAGAATAAAGTGCAATATGAGGGCCTCTGATTTAAGGTTGGCAATGGGACGGGTTTCAAGGTTTTTGTAAATTCTAGATTCTATTTGACTCCCTAAGCCATTCAACCCTTACCTGCCCCAAAACTTGTAACAGTTGAATTTTGGCAATCTAAACCCTTCTCATACATGAAAAAAAGCCTCTCATACCCTACCCTCCACATATTTAAGGTTAGGGTGGATTGGGTTTAAAACCCGCATCTAATTTCCTATCATTTCTTATTATGTATAAGCAATAAATAAGTGAAACAACATGAATATACAACAAAATTTCTGATTATTTGATTAAGACATAAACAACACATAAACTATCAATTATCCTTCACATGAAATTCAAAATATTATTAAACTCGACACTTAATACATAAAGTTTATATGCTTTTCAATAATATATGAGTTAGAAAAGGTTGAATTTAATTTAATACCATACCCTACCTGTGCTATATGGCTGTATGAATTATAAAATAATCTCAAAACCTGTTCCCACCCTAAAATCCATCCTTCAAGCAAAAAGAACCCACCCCATGTTCACTAGATAAGATAGAAATTGCCATCCCTACTCGTATTAAGGTTTATTTTTAACATGGGCACGATACCTTTTTTATTTAAATTCAAAACGCCAAACAAGGGCACGATACTTTTATGGGCAATCCATTTCCAACTTGTAACTTGTAACCAGCTATAGTAGCCGCATCTCTCATTCCCTTTTCGATATTTGACTAGAATATGGGTCCAGTTCTCTACCATTATCCTCCACTTTATCTTAACACATCCACTCTGTCTGTGTGACAAATGCTCCCTTACACGTCTTCAAATACTCATTCATATGAGAATATACATGTGAGAACACCTGTCACACACTGAATGGAAGTATAGAAGCTCCAGACTCGTACAATACATTATACATCGACGATTTTAATCACCCTATTCCGACTGAAATGTTCCAATCGAGCTGGTCCCAAGAACACCGTCCGTCACTCATGGCTCTTGTGAGTTGTGATTAATACATGGTTATCGCGAGAAAATGCATTGGCCGACATGAAGCCCAAAGGGTACCACTCGGTCGCAGGCCGGGGCTGCTCTAAAGTTATATTCTGGCATAGGTGGCTCAGAATGTTTTTTCTGGACTGGGTTAGCTAAGCTAGGGCCTAGGGATGAGCATTCTGAATTAGAAACCAGATCGATAAGCATTAAGTTGTGCTTCTAACCATATAAATGCCTACGCCTACCTTAAGAATTCTCCTGCCCGTTAGACCTTTTTTTTTGTTGGTTTTTTATCCCATAATTTTCTGTCTTAGCAGTGGAGTCTTGTAATTTTGTTTTGCTTTTCTCATCGATGCCCGTTCCTACTTAGCAGAAATTATTCGACAATTCACTGGCCCACCCAGGATATCTTTTCAGGACTTCCAGCCTCGCCCCCTCTTGCCTGGGCCACTCCTTTTTCACTTTTTAAAGCAGACTTGGACTGTGTTTGAATCTCTCTCTCTCTCTCTCTCAACAAAATTTGGTTGGATAATTAATTCTCTATCGGGTTACAACATCTTATCGCGACCACCCAACATTACCAGTGTTTTTAAATTAAAAAAGTTGTATTCAGTTTATCATTGGGGTCAAGAAAGAAAAATGCTGTGACCATGGTCACTTCCATCTTCCAATGCCCTTTTTGAGAATTCTTTGGACTCTTTCATCTGTTCACTGAATATGTTTCACATCTCATATTCCTTCAAATCTCTTCTTGGTTAGCTTCATCAGCTTTCCATAACAACTTTATTGATAATAAACAAAGATGGAATATGGAGATGCAGAACAGATAACATCAAAGAAGAGGTGTCCATTCATTGATCAGTTAATTTATGAAGTGCTCTTATATTCATATTTCATAATAGGCGTTCTAAGGAATCTCCTCCTGTCAAAAACTAGAGCCTAGTCTTGCTGGACCCTTTCGAACTTGGCTGCAGCATACAACTCTTGAGTCTTGATCACACGACACGAACTAGACTTATAGATTTGTGGAGATGCTGTGGTAAGCCTGAAAGCCAAAGGCTAATCACCCCAGTATATCCGTGAGAAATGTTGCTTTTCGTGCTCTTCCACATGTAATGAATTAATATTTCACTTGAAAGCTGAAAAGCAAAACCTTGCTACTTTTCATCGCTGGTGGATTGGTGGTTTCATTCGGGGCCACAAAGCGAATTCAGGTTCTCAGTTCATATCTGTTCTACAGCTCTATCACCAAATTCTTGCGCCCCATAGCCCAATAAAATACGGACATACTAGCGGTCGAACCAAAATGCAGATTACCTCATATTTTGAATTTAAAAGARATGGGGATGATGATGCCCATTTTTTTATTTATTTATTGGACAGTGGCAAGAATTTGTGCATATTAATCACCACCAGATGTGGCCTGTGGGCAGCACATTTTGGTGGTCACTGGTAAACCAATAAAGGCTAAGCTAAGAATCCAACCAAAAAGCAGATCGTTTGGTGTACAGATTGTTGCGAATGCTCAATATCAATATTGGATATGATCTCTGGTTGTTTTAAATTCAAAAGGGCGATCTTCTTTTATGTTGAATAGTTGGTGTGTTCATATTTTATTATGAGGTCTCAAGAATACTGCATGTGATGATAATCACAGTAGATGCCAATTTTAGTTGTTTTCAAAGGAGGTTGTGTCTTATTGGACCGACGGTCACAAGAATAAATAACTGGAGTGAGAAGTCCATTTGGAATGCAAGTGCTTATATATAGTTTGCAATTGCAAGCAATGACTGTGGCATGTGGGTCTCCGTGTTGGGAGACGCAAAACCAGTCCGGTCGGCAGCGAAATGCCTCCATTTGTTCGGTGGTCTGTTACTGCTGGCCTCGCTCAATACATGCATCTAGCGGGAGAGATCTGAGAGTCTATCTAATGGCTGAAGAATATTTCTACTCTCTGTTCAGAGGAAGTCATGGATGCCCACCTATCATTAATTTCCTCAAGGGGGCAGTCATTGCATGTGTGGCTATCATTCCTCGGTTGACCTTGAACTCAATCTTTTTTTAGCTTCCCTATAAACGGCATCCTGTCATCTATGGGCGAGATTCATCCCACTTGCATGATGGGGTTAAGAATTTTGGGATGAATTGAACAGTCTTTCTTTTTTTTTGTGTAAAATATAAAATCTTTCCCTGAAATTTCTGATAATCATAAAACTTCCCTTATAATTTTATTTTAATAAATATCTTTCCTTACCTTTTACAGAATTTGACAAAAACCTCCCTTCAGTCACCTTGCTGAAGGAAAACATTAAATTGATGCACCATTTTTTCTAAATACCTATTTCACCTTTTTGTTTTTATCAGACGTATTAATTGTTGAATGACCAGCAGTGGGTATGGCTGGAACGAGCGATTGACCCCTCTGTTTCAACTCTTCTTTTTCTTTGTAATGCAAAGATTGATTATGTAAGGAATCTC